AGGGGTGTGTGCACCCCCAGCCTGGTTACTCCTGCCAGGGAGCTCCTGGAGAGCTGAGCCCCGGGCAGGGCCGGAGCCCCGGGCTCTGGGAGCCCCTTTTGTCTGTTCCTCGGGCAGGTTTCTGTCGGTGACAGACGGCCCCGGTGCTCCATAACCACACAATCTGTCACCACCACCCCTGACAGCTTTCCCAGGGAGCCCCTTCCCTTTTTTCCCTTTCATCCTGCCCCGTTCCCTGCGCCTCTGCTCGTCCCCCCTCCCCTGGCTTTTGTTCCCCCCTAAAAGCCAAATAGCGACAGAAGCTCCTGATCATAATATTGCTCTAATCGAGTCTGTCATAATCAGATCCAATCTAATTATGTCCAGATCCCTCTCTCCTCCCGACTCTCTCTATTGCTTGTCCATCTGTCCCCCTCTTCCCTTCCAGTCTTTGTGTCCATCCATCTGTTATCTGCGGGCCTTTCTCCCTTCCCCGCCCGTCCCTGGGCCCCTGCCCCATTCACAGCGTGGCCACCCCGGCCCTTTCCTCCAGCGGCTCCGTCTCCAATCCATCTCCCTCAAAGGCCTCTCCATCAATCCATTTAGAGCAGCTCCTGCCTCCTCCAGCCCATCTGCTTCCCCCTTCCCGCTGGCTCCGAGCTGCCGAGCCGCTGTTTTGTTCCGACGTCGATCTTGATTAGCCCCCGGCACCTCTGCTGGCGCTGGGGAAGCATCACCTGGGCGGCAGAGAGAGCCCGAGCCCCGTCCTCCGCCCCTTCCTCCTCCTCACCCTCCTCTTCCTCCGCTGGAGGGCACGGGGGGAGGCCCCGGGAGCTGCGCGGGGCAAAGAGGGGGGAAGGACGAGCTCAGTTTGTCCCCAAATCACCTCCCTCTTTCCCCCGCTGGGCTGTTTTCCCCCAGGAATTCCCGCGGCTGGACGGACAGACAGAAGGGGGGGGGACGGTGAGATCCCTCTGGATGTTCCTGTGGACGAGGGAGAGCGGATTTGCTGCAGGAACGAGGAGCCCAGGGATCCCCGTGGGGTGGATTTGGGATGGTGAGATCCCTCTGGATGTTCCTGTGGACCTTGCAGCAGGAATGAGGTGCTCAGGGATCCCCGTGGTGGCCCTGTGGGGTGGATTTGGGATGGTGAGATCCCTCTGGATGTTCCTGTGGACTTTGCAGCGGGAATGAGGAGCCCAGGGATCCCCGTGGGGTGGATTTGGGACACGGGGTCGCTCCGGGGGCTTTGGTGCCTCTCCCAGAGCCGGGTGCTCGTCCCTGGTGGTGCCAAGGGCAGTGGAAAGGATGGACCCTGGGCACGGTCCAAGCTGGCAATTCCTCTGCTCCCATTTGTAGCAGTTCAGCCCCTGATTTCAAACACATGTTGGACTCAGATTCCTGCTGGGTGCCAGCCAAGGCCCTGGCTCGCTCCTCTCCTGCTCCTGAGCTGCCTTTGTTCCTTCAGCTGGACCTTGTGCTGCTCCCAGACAGCCCCCCCAGCCCCCCAGCCCCTCAGCACAGGGGAGCTGTTCCCAGGGCTCTCCCAACACCCTCCTGCCCTTTGCCACAAACCCTCCAAAAAACGACTCCCTCCCCCCCCACCCCGGGCTCCACCTCGATTTTAGCTGCTGATAAGACACGACTGGAGAAGACACCAGTTCTCCCCTTCCTGTCTCCACCGTTTCCTTCTCCCAGAAGCCCAAACAGCCCCGGCTTTGTTCTGGGTATTAATTAACTTTCCTGCCTCTTAATATTCCGGAGCCACCGAGTTCCCAGGAGCGGGGAAGGCCGAGCACCGAGAAAACACCCATTTCCTCTCCTTCCTCCCCATCTGGGGGGCTGTCACCCCCATATGTCCCCCCTCGGGGCACGGGGGCAGCTGCAGCCCCGGCCCTCGGCCCCCCCCGGGAGTTCAGGGGGTCAGGAGGGTC